CCCCCGCATGCACCTGCTTTGAGGAGCCTCCTTCCTCTAGTTTAAGCAAGGGATGGGGCCACATTGGGGGCCGCGCGGGTTTGGGGAATTTGTGTTTTCAAGGCTATCTACAGATGTCCCATCCAAGCAGACTGGAGGGGCTCGCAGCCCCCCGCATGCACCTGCTTTGAGGAGCCTCCTTCCTCTAGTTTAAGCAAGGGATGGGGCCACATCGGGGGCCGCGCGGGTTTGGGGAATTTGTGTTTTCAAGGCTATCTACAGATGTCCCATCCAAGTGTCAGGGCCTGGCACTAGCAGAGGGACCCCTGAGGCCACGTGGCGCCCTTCCTCACCTCCCGCATTCTCGGGGTGAGGTGCTGACCTCATGTTCAGCAAGGTCTGAACCGCCAGGAGGCCTCTGACTTTCTCACCAGGCCTGCAGGTGCAGTTGACACCTCAGCGCCTATCTTCTCTCTCTCCCACATGGCAGAGGGGCTCAGCCATGAGCTGTCAGGGGCCACCGGGGAGGCTACACCAGCAGCGCCCCTTGTCCGCGCTCACCATAGCTCATCACAGTGACAGAGCATGCCGGGAGGCCCTGATGCCATCTGGCTGGGGAAGGTCTCGCCCAGAATCTGTCACTGGTGGCCACCTTCTGGGACCGTTCCTGGTACCAGGGGTCTTGGGTCGTGCTCCCCAGAAGCAGACTCTGGTGCCAGGGCCCTGGTGCTCCCAGGAGAAGCAAGGAGAGGTGTGACTCAGGGGACGGCCTGCCCAGCCAGATCATGAAGGGTTTGTCCTGGCTCACAGATCAGGCGAGGGAGTCCTTGCTGAGGCCTCCCCTGGGAGGAAATTCCAGGCACTTCCAGCTCTCTGCACATGGGGTACAGCCCCTCCGAGAAAGTCCCAGGTATGAGCCTGCAGAAGAGCGCCCACAGGCGGGCTGTGCATGGTGCAGGAGTGTGGGGGCCAAGGCATGGCAGTTCCTCAGGTCCCCACGTGCACACGCATGGGTTCCTGGGGTGGCGTCTGGCTGGCCTCTGCGCTGGAGTCCTCTGCAGCAGTTCTCTGTGCCTCCGCTGAGCACTTGGGAACACAGGTGCATGAGCTTCATTTTGGTTTCAAGTTTCTAGTATTTTCTGATTTTTAATGTTTGATTTTGCTTTGTATTATGTAAAATATTTTGTGGTTCAAAGTCAACGCAGAACAAGATGAATTTCAGAGGTCACATCTCCCCACCTCTCGCGACTCCCAGCGTGTCCCCTGTCGCTGTTGGAGGCCATCTCCACTTGTGCTTGACTTGCCCCCTGGTGTGCTGATGTCTGGCGGTAGCGAAGTGCCCAGCAGGCATCTGGGTCCTCCCCTCCTGGATAAAGAGGGCACTCAGTGTGCACGGCACTGCCCAGCACCCAGCGCACTTAATTCAAAGGAGGGTCCAGAGCCCTCTCTGTGCTGTCCAGGGACGTCTTCCTGACACCGTGGCCTCATGCCCCATGTGTGCCTTCCCAGACGCTGGGTCATCTCAGGGTTGCTGTGACTGAGGCTGTCGTGCATCTCTGGGGCAGAGCCTGGACGCAGGGCTCCTGCCGCAGATGCACCTGTGATTCTGCAGGTCTCCCTGAATCTTTGCTCCCAGCCAAGTCGCCCTCTCCATCCGAGGGCCTTCTTGGCATAGCTGTAATTTGAATTTCTCCAGTTAGGAGCAAGATTGAGCACGTTTCATATGTTTGAAGGGCTCTCGCTTCCCGCTCCTTGTGGACAGCCTGTTGGGGTCCCCCACTGTGCTTCCTGCGGGGGTGGCCTTTCCTTGTCTGCTTCCGGCTGCGCTCTGGAGATGGTGGCTCTGCCTGCTATTCAAGCTGCACGTGCCTTCTCCAGTCCGTCCTTTGTCTTTTCATGTTGTCAGATTCATTAATCTTTTCCCTTATGGTTTCCGGATTTTTATTTATAATGTAGACAGTTTTTTTTTCACTTGCTGGCTCTAAAGGAATTTATCCATGTTTTCTCCTAGTGCTTACATATGTTAATTTCTTTTTCTTTTGCATTTAAATTATTGATCCAGTTAGACTTATCCTGGGGCATGGTATGAAGGATGGGTCCACGTTTGTCATTTTCCAGATTTCCACTTATGCCCGAACCTGCCTCTGTCACACACTGAAGTCCGTCGGCAGCAGGCGTACTGAACTTTCTGTCCGTTGCTCAGTCTGTCCTGACTCCCTGATCACTTTGTGTTTCAGTGTCTGGCACGGCTGGTCCAGGAGGTCGCTTTCCTTTCTGGCGTTTTTCTGGCTATTCTTGTTGGGACTTACAAAGGGACTTTTGATGGTGTTTGTTCAGCTCTAGAAAAAAAGGCGACGGTATTTTTATTGGAAATAATTTATAAATCACCCTGGGGGGTCAGCATCTGTGCGACACGGAGCCCCCCAGAGCAGTTCCGCCTTTCCCCTGAAGTCTGTCCTCGCGTGGCCGTGGGTCCGTTCCCGTCACTCCTGTGCCTGGCTTTGCTTGGTCGTGTCGCTGTTTCGCGCGGGCTTTTTAGCCCTCTCTGTCTTCTCTGTGGTTGTCGTCGGGGTAGGTCAAGGCTACCGGCCTCTGCTCGCTGGCCCGTGTCTGCCCCCTTCTGCACCCTGCGGTTGTTTGCAGGGGCTTTTGCGTCAGCTCTGCGGGACTCTCCACATGTGTCACATCACCCAAGAGTGGAGGCAGCGGCCGTTGTCCTCCCCCGTGCATGCAGTTCGTGGTCTCCACATGGGTGGAGACTGAGGCCAATCATCCCAAGCCGAGGTCCCAGGAGAGAAGGGGACAAAGCTGGCACCCCAGCAAGGGCAGGATAGTAGTCAGACGAGGGCCCGTGAAGGGCAGCAGCGGGCGTGAGGCCCATGGCCTCCACTGGCACAACGGAGCACCTGGCTGGTGGGCTGCCCTCCTGGCACCAGCGGAAGTGCCAGACAAGGGGGGCTCATGAGGCCCTGAGGTGCATGGAGACCCTTGCCCCGTTGGTCACTGGACGGCATCAGCCCCGTGTTGCCAGTGGGAAGCGGGCTGTGCCCGGGTGCGCCCACAGTTGCAGCTCAGTGAGGTGGTGTGGGTGCTGCGGGATGGGGGCAGCATGAGGGCACTAGCACTGGCCACAAGACAGAGCCCAAGCCCCCTGGCTGAGTCTCCAGGACCAGGAGCTGGGACTCCCCTGGTGGCCAGCGGGGAGGATTGTAAGGTGTGACTGCTGCCACTTCCTTGTGGAGCAGAGGACAGGTCGTGTGGTGTGCAGGGCCCGAGGAGGACCCACAGCTCACCCCAGAGGCTTCCCTGGCCGGTGGGAGCAGTGGCCCCTTTACTGCCTGCCACACCCCACAGCTGCTGAGCCCACTCCCACAGGCCTAGACCCCTGCCCTGTGTGTGGGATGTGCTCCCCAGGCGGAGTCAGGAAAGAGGCCACGTGATCAGCAAGGTGACTTATGACAAGTGCCCTCAGGGGTCCCAGCACTGCCCAAGCTGCCTAGGGGTCCCAGCAGCCTTGTGCGGCCCCCACCCAGGTGCACCCCTCATCCCGTGTGCACCCCCTTCCAGTGCACACCCCCCTTCCCGGGTGCACCCCCCTCCCACGAGTATACCCGTTGCTGTGTGCACTCCCATTGCCGCGTGTACTCCTCTTCCCGTGTTCACCCATTTCTACGTGCACCCCTTCTCCCGTGTGCACCCCCTCCCGTGTGCACCCCCTCCCGTGTGCACCCCCTTCCAGTGCACACCCCCCTTCCCGGGTGCACCCCCCTCCCACGAGTATACCCGTTGCTGTGTGCACTCCCATTGCCGCGTGTACTCCTCTTCCCGTGTTCACCCATTTCTACGTGCACCCCTTCTCCCGTGTGCACCCCCTTCCAGTGCACACCCCCCTTCCCGGGTGCACCCCCCTCCCACGAGTATACCCGTTGCTGTGTGCACTCCCATTGCCGCGTGTACTCCTCTTCCCGTGTTCACCCATTTCTACGTGCACCCCTTCTCCCGTGTGCACCCCCTTCCAGTGCACACCCCCCTTCCCGGGTGCACCCCCCTCCCACGAGTATACCCGTTGCTGTGTGCACTCCCATTGCCGCGTGTACTCCTCTTCCCGTGTTCACCCATTTCTACGTGCACCCCTTCTCCCGTGTGCACCCCCTTCCAGTGCACACCCCCCTTCCCGGGTGCACCCCCCTCCCACGAGTATACCCGTTGCTGTGTGCACTCCCATTGCCGCGTGTACTCCTCTTCCCGTGTTCACCCATTTCTACGTGCACCCCTTCTCCCGTGTGCACCCCCTTCCAGTGCACACCCCCCTTCCCGGGTGCACCCCCCTCCCACGAGTATACCCGTTGCTGTGTGCACTCCCATTGCCGCGTGTACTCCTCTTCCCGTGTTCACCCATTTCTACGTGCACCCCTTCTCCCGTGTGCACCCCCTTCCAGTGCACACCCCCCTTCCCGGGTGCACCCCCCTCCCACGAGTATACCCGTTGCTGTGTGCACTCCCATTGCCGCGTGTACTCCTCTTCCCGTGTTCACCCATTTCTACGTGCACCCCTTCTCCCGTGTGCACCCCCTCCCGTGTGCACCCCTCCCATGTGCACCCCCCCCGTGTGCACCCTGCCCCTGTGGGCAGCTGTTCCCACACCTGAGTCTGGGTTACCTGTTTTGCCCTTTGGCTCCTCCGCTGTGTCTGCGTGAGCCAGTTTTCTTCATACAATCCCATGTTGAAATCTGCTGGGGGCATTTCTGAGTCCTGGGCTGACCCCTGGCTCCTGGGCAATATCCCCAAACTGACACCGTGAGTGCCCACGGGCTGTTTCATGACCAAGCAGCTCCTTCCCCACCCCCACCTGTCCCTCCGAGAAGCTCTCTGGCCCCTCAGTCCCTGCTCATCACTCCCCAGGACTGTTGTGTAGCCTGCGGGGCCCCAGGGGACACAGCTGGCAGGAAAAGACGTCAGGACAGGAAACAGGCAATGCTCAGGGTTTATTTGCAAAATCAGGGCTGGGTGAGCAAAGGGGCTGCTTTGGGGTGCCGACCCCTCTCCATCCCACCCTTCAGCCATCGTGACCTCAGCCCTCAGGTCCCCTTGCAACATGCCACTGGGTCCAGATATGGGCAGGCAGCCATCTTGCCTGATGCAGCTCTGTGGTGGCAGCTGACCTTGCCTGGACAGGTGCCTCTCTGCTCTTGGCCGATGGCGGTGGCCAAGAGGGAGTCCGTGCTCTAGGGGGGCTCTGTGGTATGGTGGGGGACACATGGCCCTCAGTGGGAAGCAGTGCACTGGCAGATGCTCAGTGAGCTCCAGGGTGTCCCAATGACACCAGGAAGGGGGTGAGGCCAGGGTGGGGAGTGTTGCAGGTGACGCTGAGCAGGTGGCCAAGACAGGCCAGTGGCGGGGGTAGGGTGCCTCCGAGGGCAGGACCCTGCCAGGCGCCCTCCTTAAGCCAATCCTCACCAGCCCATCAGCCCCCAGGGTGCCGGTTTCACTGAGGGGCAGATGGAAGGTGTGCAGAGGCAGTGGGAGCCATGGCAGGTTAGTGTGGACTCCGTGGAGAAGGCCCACCTAAGTTGTGCGTGGTTGGGTGCTGCATCTGTTCCAGGTGGAGAGGGCTTGGGGGGTGGGCAGGACATTGTTGGACAGCAGTGGCCCCTAGACTGAGGAGACAGGGGTGTCCGTGGGAGCTGTGGACGAGGGCAAGCAGGATGGGGTGCAGCCACACGCATCCACGTGAGTATAGGTGTGCAGGATGTTGGTGCCATCAGGACACTGCAGGGTCACTGTCTCCTCATGGGCCGTCGTCTCCTGGCAGCAGGTGCACAGGTGCTGCATGGCCTGGGCCTCCATAGAGTACCTGCAGGCACAGGGCTTGCCCTCAGGACTGGCCACGTCAGCCCCAATGGCATCTCTCAACGGCCATGGTGACTCCTGAGGTCTTGAGGTGTCTGTCCCCATCTGTCCACAGAGGCCCCGGTGCTTGCTGTCTGACCCTCCTGTGCTGGGGCAGCTCTCTGGAGTTCAGGGTCCTTTGAACCCTGTCTTCCGTGGCCTTCTGTGGCTATCTTCCCCCAATCTGCTCCTCTAATCTGGCTGCCCCTGGGCCGACCTCTTCCCTGGAGAACCTCCCCTGGGCCCTTGAACCAGCCCCTGGCCTTTCCTCCTGTCTCTCCTGGCCACCGCTGCTTACAGCTGGCCACAGCCCCAGGCTGTCTGCGGTCCATGGAAGGCTGTGATTCTGCCTGCCCTCCCCAGGTGGACACTGCCTCTCAGGCCCCTGGACATGGGTCTGCAGCAGAGATGCTCCGTCCTGCGTGGCTCAGGGCAGCTTGCCCTTGGCCTGGCTGAGAGAGCAGCCTTAGGCTTCTGCACACGGACCTGGAGTGAGGGGGTCCTGCTGGGGAGCCCCTTCCCTCCTTCCTGCAGCAAGCGGTGGGGCACTGGGTGGCTGGGGGTGGGCACTGGCTCTGCCCTCGCACTCGGGGAAAGTGAAGAGCCCACTCACTTGGACGCTCCGGGGCAGGAGCCCTCACAGGAGGTGATGTTGACTTCGGTCACGCAGTCCTGGTGCCGCAGGACGGTTGTATTGATGTGGACTCGACAGGAGTCTGCGCAGAGGAGAGGCGGATGCAGAGCCCTGCTGGCCCCTCACTCCCTGAGGCTGGGAACCTGGTGCAGTGGACCTGGGCAGAACCACCCCTCCCTGTCTCCCTCCTGGGAGGAAGGGTGGGGTCTGGGGGTGGGGATTCCACGGCTGCGCAGAGAGAGAAGCCAATGGGCGGAGACTGGACGGGCCAGAGGGCTGGGGTAGGAAGGCAGCCTCGACTTACCCTCTTCCTCACAGGAGTAGCAGCAGCCGGTTTTCCTGAGGATCCCCTGCAGGGCCAAGGAAGGGGGCGGGCTGTGGGCGGGGCCTCCCAGAGTGTGGGGCAGGGGCGGGGTCTTCTGGACTGTGGGCAGGGCCTCCTAGGCAGGGGCGGGGCCTCGGGGGCTGGGCGGGGCCTCGCGGACACACACCCTACAGCTGGACACGTCAGGGCAGGACGTGGGCTGAGGGGTCAGCAGGGGTCGGCCGTTTCCAGCCTCGCAGCGGTACTCGGTGCAGTTGTCCATGAGGCTGTTGACCCAGGTTTCGTTGGGCTGAGATGCAAGCGGAGAATGGAGGCAGTGTGGGTATCATCTGCTGGGCCGAGCTCCCATGGGCTGGGAGTCTCCCGGGGAGGGGACCGAGGCGGCCCCCATGTGTCCCCTCCTCTTACCTGGACAAGCTGGCCGTCCGGTGTGAGGCAGGCGGTCTGCACGCACTCCCCGCAGCACTGCCCAGCCACCCTTGAGTACTCGAAGCCCTTTCGGGGGGCAGGAGGCACCGTCAAGTCCCCACCCTGCTCCTCCAGCCCGCACCCAGCCCAGCCTGCCCCCGTCCACACTGCCGCGGCCCGGCGGTCTGCTTAGCAGTGCCAGCTGAAGCCGTGCCCCTGCCCGATGTCCCGGCTTAGCCTCCCTGGGCTTTCAGCACTTGGCTGTCTACTCCTGCCTTTCTGTCCTCAGCAGCCTGTGGGTCCCGTCCCCACCCCCCAGCCATCCTCCTGCTTCACACCCCTCATCTGGGAAAAAGCAAGCAAAGGCTTAGCTGGAGAACCCTCCCGGGGCCCAAGGTGGCAGTGACTCGGGGCTGCCCAGCTGTGGGCTCACCTGGGGGCAGGTGGTGGTGCAGGCATCCTTCTCACACCACACGGTTAGGTTCTGGGTGTCCTCGGACAGGCAGGTGCATGTGTGGCACGGGATGACCCCTGGGAAAGTCGCACCAACCTGCAGTGAATGGGGAGACACCAAGGGCACCGGGTGGGATGCCAAGGCCAGGACCCCTCCCGTGGCCAGGTGGGGCCCACAGGGGCTGTTTCTTTCTTCTTCTAATGGGTATGGATGTGCTTCAGGCTGAGCACAGACTGGAGCAGTGGGGGGACCCTGGCAGACCCTGCAGCTGAACGCTCAGGCAGCAGGTGAGGGGGCACGCGGCTTTCCATGGCTCCTGGCAGAAGGTAACCCCCACAGCCTAAAGGGCCCAGAGCCCTTCCGCTTATCTGCCCTTGTAGCAGGAATGTCGAGGCTGAGAGTGGGGCTCAGAGGGCCATGGGGGTCCCACGGCTGCCCGCCCCGCCCAGGTGCTGAGCCCTTACCCCGTAGGCGGTGCCGTTGTATGTGCACAGCTTAGGTCCTGAAAGGGAAGGGGCGGAGTGCATGACGGGCAGCAGGGAGCAGATGCTTGGGTGGCTCTGACCCTGCACCCTGCCGGCCCTGCCAGCCCCCAGCCCCACTCACGGCAGCCAAAGGTGGGGCAGCAGTCGCCCTCCTCCTGGGCACGGGTCAGCTCCTCCCCCGGCCCACACTTGGGCAGGCTCTGGGGGCAGGTGGTCGCGTTGCAGACTGTGGGAGTGGTGGGCAATGTCAGGGGAGCCCCCACCCTCCCGGCACTGTGGTTCACAGCCTCACCCCCTCTGTGGGTGCCAGTTCCCAGCATAAGTGGTGGGGGCTGCCCACTCTCATGGCCCTTCCGGGTTCTCTCCAAGCCCCTCACTCTCACCTCCCCAAGTCCCTGGCTATACCTGGGCAGGTCAGAGGTCACCAGTCTCATTTTTAGGTGGAAAAATGAGGCACTTAGAGGCCGCTCTACCTGAGGGGTCCAGCTGAGGTCAGGCTGGGACACTGCGGCCTCCTCAACCCTCCCATGCCCACCAGCTCCTCCTTGGCCCCTGGTGGTTGCTGGCTCCTCCCCACCCCACTCCCTGCCCACCTGGCACCTCTGCTCAGCGGGCGCTCACCGCACAGTGTCTCGGGGCAGCAGGGGTTGTCAGCCCGGGGTCTGGTCACGTTCATGAAGCCGGCCTGGCTGCACGGCGTGGGCTGGCCCCAGTCCTCACACGGCACCGGCGCACACTGCACGGACACTGAGCCCTCGTCACACACACAGGCCTGGCAGTTGCTGATCCACTGCTCTCCGGGCTGGAAAAGACCGAGTTGGAGTCCCCGAGGACCCAGGACCGGGTCCCGCCTCCCCGGCTGCATCAGCCCTCGGCGTGGCTGGCCCTCAGCATCTGTCCGCCCCTCCAATCCCCAGGCCACCCTCTCTGGAGCAGCCCAGAACAACAGTGACAGGAAGGACCCAGGGGCCCCACACCAGTCCCACGACAGGGCTGTCGGACAGTGCTGGCCACCTGAGATGGGGGTGTCCCTCCCTATGCAGCTCGAGAAAGGGGAAGGCTGGGGACAGGTGGGGGCAGAAGCACTCACGAATTTGGGAAACCCATCAGGTCCCACACAGGCTGGAAGAAAAGGGGGAAAAGAGTCACTGAGGATGCTGGGGGTTGAGGCCTGGTAGGCAGAGGCTTCAGGCCACCGGACTGTGCTCTCAGGCTGGCCACCCACCCGCTCCTCCCCAGACAAGGCTTCTTTCTCCCCTCTGGGAATGGAAGTCTGTAAAGAACTCGAGCCACGTGGCTTGGGTTTGGGTCAGGGTGCCACGGTCCAGCTTGTGCCAAGGCCTCGGCCACCCCAGCAGTGAGCAGTAGAGGCTCAGGAGAGGGGCATGTTCCAGGTCCACGTGGGGACACAGGGATGGAGCCACTCCTGTGTGGCTTCAGGATACCATAGGGCTCTGCAGGGCTCAGGACCACACCGTGACCATATTGTGCCACAGGCCATTCTACCAGGCTGGGGATCATCTGGGGTTGCGGGGCATGCCCCGAGATGGCATGGGCACTTGACCGTGCAGGAGAGGGTGGGCCGGCCAGGGCCTTTCCACCCAACGCCCCCTCCCCACTCTGCGTGTGCATGGCTCAGGGACCCGGGGGGACATGTCCCTGCTGTGGGGTGGACACAGCTTACGGCACGCAGGCACGCAGACGTCCGTGTGCGCGTTGAAGAGGATTTGGTCTGCAGGGCAGAAGCAGCCCTCTGCCAGCACCTCCACTGGTGGGCTCTGGGTCCTGTAAGGCAGGACGAGCTGACCTGGGTCCCAGGCAGCAGGAGAGCTCCTTGCACTGTCCCCCGTGTGACCCCGAGATGGGCAGTCAAGGACCTCCACTGGTGGGCTCTGGGTCCTGTAAGGCAGGACGAGCTGACCTGGGGCCCAGGCAGCAGGAGAGCTCCTTGCACTGTCCCCCGTGTGACCCCGAGATGGGCAGTCAAGGGAGGAGGGCAGGGGGATGCTGGGGCTGGGGTCGGGTGGGGATGGGTGCCCCCAGCCTCTGCTTTGTGAGGAGTACAGGAACCATGGGTGTTTTCCAGTGAGTCCTGGGGTTGGGAAGGGCAAACCAGAGACCTGGGGCTAAGAGCCCTGACCATCCTCAAGTCTCTTTCTGGTACCTCCCAGACCCTTCTGGCAGGTCTGGGAGGCCCGAGGTCCTGTCCCCACTGACCCTGCTGTCCCTGCCATCCCTGTGGTCCCTGCTGTCCTTGCCGTGGTCTCCGCTCACCTGGAGTCGCAGGCTGCAGGCTGCATGGGGCCGCAGGGCTTGTACACCTTGGTGGGAGGGCAGGGGAGATCTGTGGGCACAGAGACAGGTGTCAGACAGGTGTCAGGCTGAGGACGTGGAGTCCCAGGCAGCTCTGGACTCACCGCACAGCCCGCCGGTGGCATTCCGCCAGTCAGGGCACATGCCCCTGGCACGACAGAGTGCTGCATAGGCCTCCAGGCTCTGGCAGGGCACCTTGGGGTGGCCGGCCTGGCAGCTGTCACTGACACAGGTGGTAAAGTATGGGTCTGGCGGGATGAGGCTGTGGCACTCGGCAAAGACCCTGAGGGCACAGGGCAGTCAACGCTGGGAGCTGGTGCCCAGCAGAGCCACCCCAGGGCTGCTCCATCTACAGTGCAGGACTTACTGGCTGAGCATGAGCTCGCAGAGAGGCGTGGGGGGACATGGGGTGGAGGTGGGCGTCCTGGGTACCGGGGGCTGTGGGCTGGCAGTTGGGGGTGCACCAGTTGGGGCTCCGCAGCCCTCCTTGCTGCTTTCGGGGACCAGCCAGGACGTAGCCATGTCCTTGCAGGTCGGGGCCGTGGTGCCATCTGGCCGGCGACAGTCATCCTGCTGGTTATTCGTGCAGGTGCCTGCGGAGTCAGGGGCGGGAGTCACCACAGGGCTGAATGCAAGGAGCTGTTCCTGGTTGCCCTGCCCAGACTTCTTTCGTGGTCACTCAGTTCTAAGCCCCCATTTATTGAGGCCAAGAGGCAGCTCTAGCTTCAGGGAGGCGGTGTGAGGAGGCGCGGCAGGTGACAACCTGCAGGGGTGGGGCTGGGGGTGGAGCTGGGGCCAGGGCTGTGCCGCACGCACCGCACTGGCCCTCCGTGTTGTTGCTGAAGAGGCTGTAGGACAGCTGGACCTGGAAGTTGCGCCCATTGAAGGTGATGCTCACGCCGAGGGTGGGGATGTTGACGTGCATCGTGGTGGCCCCGGTCACGGACACGCTCACACCGTTCTTGCTGAAGCCCCCGCTCACCCGCGCTTGGTCAAACAGGATCTGGGGACGTCCAGGGGAACTCATAACCAGGGGGCAGGGCGGACAGCATTGGGGAGTCACGGACACGCTCACACCGTTCTTGCTGAAGCCCCCGCTCACCCGCGCTTGGTCGAACAGGATCTGGGGACGTCCAGGGGAACTCATAACCAGGGGGCAGGGCGGACAGCATTGGGGCGGCGGGGATCCTCCTGCACAGCCCCACCCCAAAGCTCGGATCTTCCCCTTGGGGCCTGGTGTCTCCTTTCGTCTCTGGGTCCATGGGGCGTGTTCTGCCTTGGGCACCTCCCATGTTCCCGGGGCATCTGGCTGTCGCTGGCCACACCTGGGCCAACCTGTGTTTGCAGATCGGCCTTCTGGGGGCCAACACGGGGCCCACCCGCTCTCACCAGACTGTCCTCCTTCCCCTCGATGGTGGTGGTGGTGAGGACGATCTCCATGGACTTGTAGTCGATGCTGATGGCCCGGGGGCAGCTGGTGGTGGCGGGGGAGGCACCACAGTAGTAGTTGTCCAGGTGGATGGTCAGGTTCCCGTGGCGAGGGTGGATCTCTCTCATCAGCACGTAGGTGCAGTTGTCCAGGAAGGAGTACGAGGTGCCGTCAAAGGTGGAGTAGTGGGATCCCCCCCACCCGCTGCAGGAGCCTGGGGGACACAGACAGGCTGGCAGGGACCGCTGGAGGCACAGACTGCGGCCCAGCCCCTCCTCGGCTCCTGCTCCCAGCACAGTGTAATGGTCTCCTTAGGAGAGCCCCTCAAGCCCTGGGGCCTCAGTGATCTCATCTATCAAATGGGTGTGATGGGTTGAATGGACCTGTGAATGTGACCTTATTTGGAAAAAGAGCCTTTGCAGATGTAATTAAGTGAAAGGTCTGAAATGAGAGAATCCCAGTTTACCTGGGCCCTAAATCCAGTGACCAGTGTCTTTATAAGTGACAGCAGAGAGACATAGACACACAGAGGAGACGGCCACATGAAGACAGTGGCAGAGATCAGAGTGATGCAGCCACAAGCCAAGGGATGTCTGGAGCCGCCAAAACTGGAAGAGGCAGGAAGGGTCCTCCCCAGAGCCTCCATGGGGAATGCGCCCTGCCCGCCCTGGTCTCCAGGACCGTGAGGGAATGAAATCTGTTGTGGCAATGGCCAGCGTGTAGCTGTTTGTCACAGCAGACCAGACGTGGACGGTGGGGTGATAGGAAGCCCAACCCCCCGGGGCTCCCACACAGCATCCTGCATGCCCAGTGATGGAAGCTGACCATGCGGATCCCCAGGAAAAGAGCACCTCTGAGCTCCTACCTCCATCTGGAACTTTCCCTGGCCTCAGAAACCCCCGGAGTCTGCCATGCAGATGAGCTTGGAGCACTGGCCTTTGCCTCGCTGCCCTGTACCGCGTCTGTGTTCCAGGACTCGGTGCCTGCCCTCAGCGCTATCTGACGTGCCCCGTCAAGTCCTGCATGGCTGGGGCTGTTCTCCAAAGTGACACAGACTAATCCCCCAGACACCCCGCGCACACCCCGCCCTGCCAGTGTGGTGACGCACGCCCACTCACACATGCATTCGTAGTGGACATCACAGGGCTGGCTCTGGTGCCATACTTTGACGGGCAGATGCTTGTTCACGCAGGTGACGTTGGCCACAGGCTTCGGCTCCAGCAGGACAACATGGTTGTCACCCTCGCACCTGGCCACTGTGCAGTTCTCTAGGACCCAGGACTCGTTAACCTGGGTAGGGAAGGTGCTGGGTGCTCACCTGGGCTGGCTCACAGGGTACCGTGCCTTAGCCACCCTCCCCAGCCCCGCCAGCACCCTGAGGCCCCACGGCCCTGAGCTGCAAGAGCCTGGCTGTTGGGGGTGTCCTCCCATGCTGAGCCGGACTCAGATCCCATGCACACCACAGCGGGAGGTGGAGGGAGAAGCGGGGCTCACCTGGCGTGGAGGGATGGCGTTATCGCAGCCAGGGGGAGGGGAGGGAGGGGGAGGGGAGGAGGACGACACTGGGGGTGAGGAGGTGGGGCAGGCGCCCTGAAAGCGGTCGACGTCACAGTGCTGGTTGCAGATGGCATAGAAGTGGCAGCCGGCTCCATCGGTCTTGTTGTAGACAACCTCACCTGCACAGGAGGAGATCATAGGAGGGCCTGGCCACACCCCAGCTGCCTGGAAAGCCTGAGCCCCAGAGACAGCGCAGGCAGCACTGGGGGCAGGAGGGCTGCTGTCACAGGGCAGAGCCCAGAGGTGGCAGTAGACTGGGCGAGGCCATCGGGGACAGACCCGTGAGTGCCCAAGAAAGAGAGACCCAGGTTGACATTGTACTTGGGGAAGGGCACAGCAGTGGCATCCACTCACCGGGTGAGAAAAGCTGCCCAAATGCCTGGCAGAAGCAGGGGGTCGGGGAGAAGGGTGGGCTGGGCAAGGAGCTGGCCCCGAGGGTGCTGAGGCCGGAGGTGACAGCAGTGGACAGGCTGAAGGCCGGCAGCCTGCTGGGGGCAACCGAAGGGCTGAGCGTGATCTCCAGGGTGGAGGCTGCGGTGAAGTGAGTGGCCATGGGCGAGGTAACCCTGTAGGTCAGCCCTGGTGTGGTTGAGGTGGTCTCTGGCGTGGAGGAGGGGGCTCCTGTGGTGCTGGTGGTAGCAGGTGAGGTGGTCCTGGAGGTCAGCCCTGGGGTGGTTGGGGTGGTCTCTGGCGTGGAGGAGGGGGCTGCTGTGGTGCTGGTGGTAGTGGGTGAGGTTGTTCTGGAGGTCAGCCGTGGTGAGGTTTGGGTGGTCTCTGGCGTGGAGGAGGGGGCTGCTGTGGTGCTGGTGGTAGTGGGTGAGGTTGTTCTGGAGGTCAGCCGTGGTGAGGTTTGGGTGGTCTCTGGCGTGGAGGAGGGGGCTGCTGTGGTGCTGGTGGTCGTGGGTGAGGTGGTCCTGGAGGTCAGCCCTGGTGTGGTTTGGGTGGTCCCCTGAGTAGTCGAGGGGGATGTCATGGCTCCTGTGGTGGCAGTGGGTGACGTTGTCCTGGAGGTGAGCCCTGGTGTGGTTTGGGTGGTCTCCGGACTGGAGGAGGGGGCTGCTGTGGTGCTGGTGGTCGTGGGTGAGGTGGTCCTGGAGGTCAGCCCTGGTGTGGTTTGGGTGGTCTCCGGACTGGAGGAGGTGGCTGCTGTAGTACTGGTGGTAGCGGCTGAGGTGGACCTGGAGGTCAACTGTGGTGTGGTTTGGGTGGTGACTGGACTGGAGGAGGGGGCTGCTGTGGTGCTGGTGGTGGCAGGTGAGGTGGTCCTGGAGGTTAGCCCTGGTGTGGTTTGGGTGGTCTCTGGCGTGGAGGAGGGGGCTGCTGTGGTGCTGGTGGTAGCAGGTGAGGTGGTCCTGGATGTCAGCCGTGGTGTGGTTTGGGTGGTCTCTGGATTGGAGGAGGGGGCTGCTGTGGTGCTGGTGGCAGTGGGTGAGGTGGTCCTGGAGGTCAGCCCTGGTGTGGTTTGGGTGGTCTCCTGAGTGGTCGAGGGGGATGTCGGGGCTCCTGTGGTGGCAGTGGGTGAGGTTGTCCTGGAGGTCAACCCTGGTGATGTTTGTGTGGTCTCTGGCATGGAGGAGGGGAATGTCATGGTGCTGGTGGTAGTGGGTGAGGTGGTCCTGGAGGCCGGCCCTGGTTTGGTTTGGGTGGTCTCTGGCGTGGAGGAGGGGGCTTCTGTGGTGCTGGTGGTAGCAGGTGAGGTGGTCCTGGATGTCAGCCCTGGTGTGGTTTGGGTGGTCTCTGGATTGGAGGAGGGGGCTGCTGTGGTGCTGGTGGTCGTGGGTGAGGTGGTCCTGGAGGTCAGCCC